TCATTTCTGTCTGCAAGGATGTACCCGGGAATGACCAATCTGCACCATTGAGAATCTACCAGCAGCCACAGCAGAGACAGGATGATGGGACAGACGATGGCATCCACGTGTAAACACATATTGATGCCACGCTGAGGATTAATACATGCAGATTTTCCTTTTCTGCCTGCAAAGCCGTGCACTAAAACAAAGGATAACCGTGGTTTTATCTTCTCTGCAAGTTTGCTGATGATACCAAACTGGGAGGGGTGGCTGACACCCCGGAGGGCTGTGCTGCCATCCAGGGAGACCTGGACAGGCTGGAGGGCTGGGCAAGGAAGAACCTCATGAGGTTCAACAGGGAAAAGTGTAGGGTCCTGCACCTGGGGAAGAAAAATGTCAGGTACCAGTACAGGTTAGGGGTGGACCCGCTAGAGGCAACTACTGAAGAGAAAGATCTAGGGGTCCTGGTGGACAGTAAAATGACAATGAGGGAAAAGTGTAGGGTCCTGCACCTGGGGAAGAAAAATGTCAGGTACCAGTATAGGTTAGGGGTGGACCCGCTAGAGGCAACTACTGAAGAGAAAGATCTAGGGGTCCTGGTGGACAGTAAAATGACAATGAGTAAACAGTGTGCTCTTGCGGCCAGGAAGGCCAATGGTATCTTGGGTTGTATAGGGAAGAGTGTGGCCAGCAGGTCAAGGGAAGTCATTCTCCCCCTCTACTCTGCACTGGGGAGGCCACAACTGGAGTACTGTGTCCAGTTCTGGGCTCCCCAGTTCAAGAGGGACAGGGAACTACTAGAAAGAGTCCAGCGAAGGGCAACAAAGATGATTCAAGGATTATGAGGAAAGACTGAGAGAGCTGGGACTCTTTAGTCTGGAGAAGAGAAGGCTGAGGGGAGACCTTATCAATGCCTACAAGTATCTCAAGGGAGGGTTGAAGGAGGAGGGAGCCAGACTCTTTTCAGTGGTTCCCACTGAGAGGATGAGGGGCAACGGGCACAAGTTGGAACAGAAGAGGTTCCACTCAAATATGAGGAGAAACTTCTTCACAGTGAGGGTGACAGAGCCCTGGCACAGGCTGCCCAGGGAGGTTGTGGAGTCCCCTTCCTTGGAGATTTTCAAGACCCGCCTGGGTACAGTCCTGAGTAACATGCTCTGACAAGCTCTAGGCAATCCTGCTTCAGCAGGGGAGTTGGACTAGATGATCTCTATGGTCCCTTCCAACTCTAAAAATTCAGTGAAATTCAGTGAAATCCAAGCAATCACCAACGACAGTACCTTCACTGAAGCAGCCCAGAGCTTGAGCTCTCCTGCTTCTCAGCAGGACCATCAGTACAGACTCACAACGAGCTGTTGTTGCCTCCATTGCCATGCGCTGCCTGCAGTTTTACCCTGCAACCACCCGAAATCTCTTGGCTTTCATCACAAATCAAACGCATGCTTTCTTTAAAACAAACAAATAAGAAACTCGGGGAGCCTCACTCTTAGGAGTGTGCAAGGTACTCAGCGACAGGACGGTCAAAACCTGGCAGTGTATGCAGCACACACGAGCAAGCATTTGTCTCGATCAGATTACCCCATCCCATTCTCAAGCTTTTTAGACTGGGCTTCACCTCATCAATCACAACGCTGCAGTTGGGCATCCCTGACCAGAAGAATCAGTGACTGGTGACGCTTCCCCTTCCAACTTAAGATCCTGTTGCTGTGGACAAGATGGAAAAAAAAGGTGGGACAATAAAGGTAGTCAAACTCTTGAGTGGAGTGTACAGGCAATAAACAGTTGTGCAACCACAGCCTTAGTTAAAAGTTACACCCCTGGAGAGACTATTTCCACATTTCCACTCTCAGATATACATCAATTTAGCCCAGAAACTTGTCTGCAAGAGTATGTGAACAAACAGGACAAGCAGGTGATACTTCCTTGAGTATTCTCCCAACCTCCAATTAGATGTTGTCCAAGAACTTTCTAAGCAATACACCACTGGTATTTATGACCAATGGATGCCGATTCAGCTGATGTCACCATGCCCTTACACTGGCAAAGGTTCTGTGTGCACTTTTGCCCCATTTTCAATGAGTTTTTTTTTAAGATCAGATGATTCATTCCTATTGGTAATAGTAATGCCATGTCCTGCTCCTCACTGTGTGTACACTGGCCTGTATCAGGAACAGCGTGGCGAGTAGGGCCCAAGAGGTGATCGTCCCCCTGTACTCGGCACTGGTGAGGCCCCACCTCGAGTACTGTGTCCAGTTTTGGGCCCCCTACCACAAGAGGGACATTGAGGTGCTGGAGCAGGTCCAGAGAAGGGCAACGAAGCTGGTGAGGGGTCTGGAGCACAAGTCTTACGAGGAGAGGCTGAGGGAGCTGGGGGTGTTCAGCCTGGGGAAGAGGAGACTGAGGGGAGACCTTCTCGCTCTGTACAAGTACCTGAAAGGAGGCTGTAGAGAGACGGGGGTCGGTCTCTTCTCCCAAGTTACAGATGTCAGGACAAGGGGTAATGGCTTCAAGTTGCGCCAGGGGAAGTTCAGGTTGGATATTAGGAAACATTTCTTTACTGAAAGGGTTATCAGGCATTGGAATGGGCTGCCCAGGGAGGTGGTGGAGTCACCATCCCTGGAGGTATTTAAGAAACGTGT